TTCATAGAGCTGCCTGAGGAAGTTGATCTCGTCAGTCAGCCCTTCCAGGCGAGACTCGAGCTCCACCTTGTTCATGTAAGCTTCATCCACATCCTGGGGAGGAGAGGCGGGGGGCGTGAGCTGGGACCCACACTCAACCCCAACCCAGAGAGGTCCCCCCGCATCCGCCCAGTAGCCTGGACTAGAGTGAGCCCTCCAACACCGCACTTGAAAGCTGAGGCTACAGCTTAGCCTCTGCCCATCCCCCACCGACATCCTCAGCCCGCCCCAGACTCTGCCTCTTGCAGCATCCCCCTCCTGCTTCACCTTCTTTCTTTCTGCTTTTTTTTTCCTTTAGTGCTGGAGATGGAATCTAGGGCCTCAGCATCCTAGGCAAGCCCGCTACCCCTGAGCTACATCCCCATGAAGCAGACAATGATATGCAGAGATCTTTCCAACCGCACCCGACTACCTCTCTGTCTACCTTTCTACACTACATATCTAGAAGACATCAAATGTTGACATAAATGAACTTATCCCATTACTTAGAAACCTCAAGGGGCAAAATCTAGAAAGGTCCTAGTCCAAATCTCCAAGGCCCAGCCTCCAGTTTCTGGACAGGGGCAGGAGGATGCCCTCACCTTCTTGATGAGGACAAATTCATTCTCCATCTCTGTACGTTTATTGATCTCATCTTCATACCTGGTGAAGAAAGATTTGCAGTCAGAGGGTGAAGGCAAAGGTGAAGTTGGCCCTGGGTCTTTCTCTGTTGATGGCGGCAGTGCTGGGGTTGGATTGAGCCTTGCAAATGCTAAACACCAACTCTACAACTGAGCTACGGGGGAGCGGGGGAAGCTTTAGTTTTTTTGAGACAAGGTCTCGCTATGTTGTTCAGGCTGTTCTTGAACTTGCTATGTAGCCTAGGCTGGCCTGGAATCCTTAGTGACTCTCCTGCCTCAGCCTCACGAGTACTGGGATTACAGGTGTATGCCACCATACCCAGCTTACCATGGGTCTTCTGAGGAGGGCATGAATACCTAGAAAATTCAGTTCATAGAGATGTAGGCTATGAGAGGGCCAGTCCTTCTCTCTGCACTACCTTTTCCCTCCTGCTCCATCCTCAGCCAGTGAGGAGGCCGAGAGCAAGAAATCTGTAGCATAATCCATGAAGAGCCATCGGATTTGGCCTATTGGAAGGTCAAGCAGCAGGGCCTAACCTCAGAGCTCTAAAGCTTGCCAGAGGCCAGGGGTCAGAAACAAATGGGGCAGAGCTGTAAGTGTGAACGTGAGACCTTGGCTGCCCATCTCTCCCATCTGGGATGTACCAGTTATATTACATATAACTTGTCCACATTTGAACAATCCTGAGATTGAAAAGGTGGACGCCATGAACAATTATTCTGGGACAATGGGCATAAAAATAGACTACCCCAAGCAAGCCTGATCAGATGGTCACCCAAACCCTAAGAGACTAACTGCCCACAAGCAGAGGGCCACAGGGACTTAGGCTTCCGGTCCCCAGAGATAACTTCTGGGGAGTGGGGGACACTCACTTATTCTTGAAGTCCTCCACCAGCCCCTGCATGTTGCCGAGCTCCGCCTCCAGCTTCAGCTTCTCCTGACCCAGTGTGTCCAGCTGCCGCCGG